AGGGTTTAGGTTTAAGGGTTTAGGATTTAGGTTTTAGGGTTTACGATTTAGGTTTTAGGGTTTAGGGTTTAGGGGTTTAGGTTTTAGGGCTTTGGGTTTAGGGGTTTAGGGTTCAGGGTTTTGGGCCTTAGGGTTTACCATGCCGAGCCTGATCTGTTGCTGGTAATCTACGTTGACAAGGGATGGGAGACGGTAGAAAGTGTGATTGACATGAATTCTCCTGAACCGGTCGGTCGATACGTCGGTTGTAGTCTAGATCGACAGGCTGTCGGCTTGTAGTAGTCTAGGCGGTTCCTTTGTACCGTTCCTATGACTTCCATTAAAAGGTTTCTTAAAAGATTCGAGTGCTTCACAAGTGTCTGACCACGGCTAGGGCTGTAGGGTTCAGGGTTTCGCGGGTTTCACGGTGAATGGATTCAGCTTCAATGCTTCTACAAATCTCTGAGTCATGATACCAGGCATGTTTGCGGGGAGTGTATACAGGGCTACTTACTGTAGTTACTTAGGAGGATTGATGGGTGTATGTTTTCGGGCGTGGTTTTAGGTTTTAAGGAGGCCAAAAGCAAAGCAATCCTGCTTCCCTCATCCTGGTTCAGGGTTTTGGGGGTTCTCCTAATCTCTAAACCCTAAACCCTTACAGGGTTTAGGGTTTAGGGTTCAGGGTTTTGGGGGTTCTCCTGATCTCTAAACCCAGTATCGTGCAGGGCATCGGCAAGGGTTTTGGGGTTTTGGGGGTTTTGGGTTTAGGGTTTAGGCAGCTTCTGCTTATTTTTTTACTAAACCCTAAACCGGTAGGGCATCGTGCCAGGCATCGGCAAAGAAGTCAGGCGGGAGATGCTCCGATTCGTATCAGCCGAATGGTCTTTTGAGGTCCAGGGTTCTGCGCTAAACCCTAAACCCTAAACCCTAAACAGTGTAGGTTTGAGGTTGAGGGTCCAGGGCTTATGTTTAGATTTTCTGGGGACCTGGATGCTTGGAATGGGGCTTTGAGTCCATGTTTGGTGCGGTTTTACAAACAGGAACCGTAAGCCTCAGGAATAGCGTCGCCAATTATTCAGGCCCCCACATGCTAACCCTAAACCCTAAACCCTAAACCCTAAACCCTAAACCCTAAACCCTAAACCCTAAACCCTAAACCCTAAACCCTAACATGCTCCCCCCAAAGCTGTGCCGTAGTAGGCTCCAGGACTCCACTTGCCTCTTTGGCCGCGCCGCACTGCCGCACCCTCCTTGTTTAGGGTTTAGGGTTTAGGGTTTAGGGTTTAGGGTTTAGGGTTTAGGGTTTAGGGTCCTAAAGTTCACCCCTACCTAACAAGCTTTTGCAGACCTCGACCCCTAAACCCTAAACCCTAAACCCTAAACCCTAAACTCTATATATAAGCCGCAAACGCTCAACGGGCCCGAGCCGTCGCTGTGTCAGAGGCTTGTTGATGCTGCCTTCGTCTGGACTGAGGACAGGGGGACGTGTGGGTTCTTCGGGAACACTCAGAGAGTTTAGGGTTTAGGCTTCAGGGTTTAGGGTTTAGGGTTTAGGGTTTAGGGTTTAGGGTTGAGCTCAAAGGGCTCCGTCAATAAAAGAATGAACCTGTTATGATTTCGGGGCATATACCTTACTTGAGGAGTATGGGACTCTCGGGGTATGTAGGGTTCCTTACTATAGTCTCAGTGGTATCATCGTATCACATACCCCAAAACCACTGCGCTAATTATCTAGGATCCTATACCCTAAATCTTAAAGAGCCCGTAAGTTACCTCTATAGTATGTTTGGAAGTAGCCCTCTTCTATTCATGAATCGGCTCTTCGGCAGCTTGCAAGGCCCTGGTGCACCATGATTGTATGACTATGGCGAGTTGCATGGGCATGGCAACATGAATCTTCTGGGTACTGTGGTTGGATGGGATTGTGTTTGGAATCGTGTTTCCACAGCGGAAGATGATGGAAGCATAGGTTTTTCATGCTTGGGCAGCAGATGAGGCTGTCTATCAGAAGCGATGCGTGTGTGCGTGTGTGCATGTGTGCGTGTGTGTGTGTGTGGCCTTGAGGGGCACCATGCCATCAGTGGGGTCAGTAAATAGCGTTACCAGCAAAGGCAGCGACACCTACCGCAACTAACCCCCACTCCTATGAACCTCAACACCCCATCCCCTTTCAAAAATCTTTACGGAATCCGATAACAAGGTTTCAGGAACCCTCTAAAAACCTTTCACTTTCTACTGCACGGCTAAGGTTTAGGGCTTATGTAGGGTTATGTAATAATCTACTCTTGACTAGGACTCGTGGATGCGTTGTGGGGAATTGTGTTGCATGTCCCGCTCTTCTTTCAGAGGCACCTGTTCATGCACAACTACAGTAGAGGGCCCTTCACTTACAACCCAGTAATACTGTGAATGATATAAATCCGGCATTACCTTAGGGACCCAAAACCATGGAAATTATACCAGCCTCGACCCCAAACAGCAAGTGGGAGACAAATGGGAGACAAGTGGGAGACAAATGGGAGACAAGTGGGAGACAAATGAGTAGCGGTTTTTAGAGTAGTGCTGTGAGAAATCCAAATGAGCGTTATAGAATCCTTTTCTATTAAGCAAATCAAGAACCCCTCAGCTAAAGCTGTTTGGGGAACTACTACTACTGCTACTACA